ATCGGCTTGGCTTGTCAGCCCCACCCATGTGGAGCCTCATTCATTATCAGTTGAGCAGGACCAGACCCCTTCAGTTTGCTCTATTGCTCTGTTGGACACAAGTCACCAAGATGAAGTGGCAGGTGTATCTAGTCCTGCTCTGTGGGCTACTCTTCTTAGCATCATGCATTTCAGCACAAAGACAAAGAGGTAATCGCAGGAATCGGCCAAACCGACCAAACCGACCAAATCGACAGAATCGACCAAACCGGCAAAACCGACCTAATCGCCGTGGAAATGCCGGTCGAAGAGGTGGGCGTCCTTCCACAAACCAGGGCAGAGGTTCATCCACCCCACTGCCAACAAACTCGACCCAGTGTGAGTTGATTCAAGTTCCGATGTGTAGAGGTATGATCGGCTATAGCCACACTCGTCTCCCGAATCAGTTCGGCCATACCACCCAGCTCCAAGTGTACCGTGCCCTAGAATACATGTGGGCTTTCATGGACATTGGATGTTCTGCCGATTTCCGAACAACTGCATGTGGGTACCATTTACCTAAGTGTACGCCAGGTCAAACAGAGCTGCTGCTACCCTGCAAGGAGACCTGCAACCGTGCTCGTAGATGCAAGGTGAGGATGAGGCAGTTGCAGTCACAGTGGCCAACTCAGTTCCAGTGCAGAAGTCTTACTTCACATCGGCAAGGGAACTGTGTTCCACCCAAACAGAGAGCCCCATCCTGCCACCAGCGCCATCTGACGTGTGAACGTAATCAGATTCCCCTGTGTCAGAACCTGACCTTCTCCCAAGGGTCGCTTCCCAACATGTTTCTTCAGTGCAACGTGCAGGAGATTGAAGCAGAGATGCAACAGTTTCAGGACCTGCTGAGAACCAACTGCTCCCCTCATCTTCGATTCTTTATGTGTGGGATATACATGCCGTACTGTGTTCGAGCAGAGACTCCCTTCGCTCTGCCATGTCGGGAAATTTGTGAGGGAGTTCGACGAAACTGTGAGAGAGTTTATCGTCGCATGACAGGAGGTCTTCCTTGGCCAAGCAAGTTTCAGTGTCATCGGTATCCACAGTCCACCAATGTCCAGCAAGTATGTGCCTCTCCCTCGGATGTTGTGCTCCGAACTCCAGAACCAGAGCCCTCTACAAGACGACCACGGCGACAACGAAATACGACCCGCACTAGCAACTAATACCCTCAGCCACCAGGTGATTATAAACATGAGAAGATGAAATATGATCCTGGTATATTGTGAACTTTTGTTGATCAATGTCTCACACTGAGATATTGACAGGACTGTATGCTTCATAAATTAAATAACTTCCGAAACAAACCAAAGAACCTTGAACAGTGTGCTGTATAAATACATTCAGAAAGAAACCATGCACATTGCTGCCTTAGAAACAAACACACCATCTACCATGTCAGTTCAGAAGCAAACAATGCACTGTGTCGCCTCAGAAACAAACAGTTCATGTACTGTGTCACCTAAGAAACAAACACATCATGTACAGTGTTCCTAAAGGACACCAATCTGCTCATATGGCTTAAAAACAACCGACCTCGAGGTCATCATAATGGTCAAAGCGATGAACATTTTAAAACTCTGGCACCGTAAGTTTTCATCAGTGACAGTTGACAAATCCTTTATAATGTACGACCTGTAGATCGAGGACTGACTGACTGAGTTTGGTTTTACGCCGGTTTTAGCAATACTCCAGCAATATCACGGCGGGGGACACCAGAAATGGGCTTCACTCATTGTACCCATGTGGGGATTCGAACCCGGGTCTTCGGCGTTACGAGCCAACGCTTTAACCACTAGACTACCCCACCGCCCCCGTAGATCGAGGATATCTGAGAATTTTTTGCAAGTGTTCAAGTGAATTATGCCACACTGTCATTGCTCCTCAGGTATGTCTTTGCTATCTGCCTTCATCACTAGGTCTACTATTGGGGATAGTGTTACTATTGTGACTATATTGCAATAGTAGCCGGACCTATTCCAACAGACCGGATAGTTTTACTAACTAATGGAATAGAAGTAAACAGTGATTGTGACCAATCTCCAACTGGGATTTTTTTCTCCCTGTCGTTACACAAGGGAAGTAACTCTAATCTGATTTCGTTGTACTTGATAGCAATGTAGGCATGAAATAGGTGAAAATATATGCATTATTTTGAACTAACTGCATTATTTATCTATCATTTTATCTATTATCATGCATACTATTGAAAACACTATTGGCATTATATATTATTATCAACATAATACTGTGATGAGGTAAAACCATTCCAGTAGTTTGATAACTGGAGTGCTAAGGGATCATTCATAATTTATGGCTACTGGGATAGGGATGATTTTAATACGGGGCACCCATTTTGTACTTTTGTACTGGAGAGGTAGGGGGTCATTAATTTTGTACTTTTGTGTACATGTTCAGGGAGGGGTGTGTGTGTTTGGAGTTGAGGAGTTTTGTATTTCTATATAAGAATTATGCTTAAAATTATGGGAAGGGGGTCATTGATTTTGTACCTGACAAGCAGAGGGGTCACTTACTTGGTACATACATTTTAGGTGGGGGTGTAAATTCTTATCCATAAACATCATCTTCAACCCCCCAGCCATAAATAATGAATGGTCCCTAACCACAGTTTTTGAAACTATTGATTATCATGCATACTATTGAAAACATTGGCTTCTTATATGATTATTAACATAACCCGCTGAAGGTAAACAATTCCAATAGTTTGATAACTCGATGTACTGTTACACATTAACCATGAATATGCATGACTGAAGTGCTGAGAAAAAATAACTGGATCAGTGTATTGGCATCAGTGTAGTCTATATGATACATTATCTGTATTGTGAGATGTATTGGGATATCCTGGGAAATCAGTGTTGAATAGTGTTGATTAAAGGCACAATGTCACACCACATTTCTCTAAAAATACATAATGCATTCCTCTCAATAATACTAACTATCAGCCCTCAGGGAAGCTACCATATAATTTATTCCAAACAAAATTACGTATTAAGATTACAATATTGAATTAAAAAGTCTACTGGCTGAACATTATTTCAAGCGAACCCCATAGAGTTATGTCCCTTGCAGTACTCTTTACGAACATCCTACACATAACGTGTGATTGAAACCAGTTCAGCAAACATAAACAACACTGCGTGCGACAGTTTTTGATGTACCGAGCAATTGTTTACATTCCATATATGACAAGTATTCTCTGTTTGGAAGCTGTTCGCCTCGAAGTTTCAATTATTGATTTCAGGCAAGTTGTAAGGGGTAATAAGTCTTTTATTGCATCAATAGGAAGCTAATGTGAGTGCATATGCACCCAATATATAAAATATAGGCCAAAATATTGTAAAAAATGTGACATTGTGCCTTTAACACTGATTGTATATGTAGATCCTGTTTTTGACAACATCTGAACTTTTTCTAAAAAGTACACCGCTTCCAGTGACTTCTTGATAGTTCATGTTAAAACTCAAAATATCTCTATTTCACTATTACGCAACACCACAGACATAAGCCGTGGCTGTCAGTATCCACAATATGTCGACAAATGAAAGTTGTGTAAAAATCGGCATTTTGATATCACTAACTTGTTTTGACGATATCATTTTCTGTCATTCTTTCAATAAATTCATTTTACTGTAAACCTTTCTTTCTAGTTTTTAACACAATGACGATGTTAAATTTGGATTACACTTTCTCAGTAAAGTACAGTTTCTACAGTCCGTTTGAAACAAAATGATACCGATGAATTGCAATCTAACACAAAAACAAATCGACATAAAAGAATCACCCAACGCGGACTGCAATAAAAACAACAGACCACCTCTAGAAAAAAGTTGCATAATTTGTGTCACAAAAATAAAAAAGTTGTTTAAGAAACTGTCATCATTTATTTGTGCGTTTTCCCAGTTTGTTACAAGGGCGGAGTGGCAACTAAAGGAACAGAGCTAAAAGCGAGATGCACCTGCGTTAACGGGTTCTCAACAAACTTTTGAGCTGGCGAGATGACACGTACCCCAGCTGCACAGGCAGTGCGCTGTATGTACTTAGTAATTGCATACTTGGGTAACCCCCTGTCATTTTCATCCTTGAAGAAATCATAGACTTTGTAAATTATAGACTTTCATTTTCTCTCACTTTGTCAATCAGCAGTAATCACATGTCTCTGACGTCACTAATACACGTGCATCTCGCTTTTCACGCTGTTCCTTTAGTTGCCACTGCGCCCTTGTAACAAACTTTGAAAAAGCACAAATAAATGATGACAGTTTCTTAAACAACTTTTTAATTTTTGTGACACAAATTATGCAATTTTTTCGAGACTTGGTCTGTTGTTTTTATTGCAGTCCGCATTGGTGTGATTCTTTTATGTCTATTTGTTGTTGTGTTAGATTGCAATTCATTGGTATCATTTTGTCTCAAACGGACTGTTGTAGTTTTGTCAGGTTGAGTCCCACCCATGGATTCGAACCTTCACTCTCAGAGTTGCCAGCACACAAAGTAAGTGATCTAACCCACTCAGCCACCGCTGCTCCCACTCAAAATATGTCGGACAACTGGTAGTGTAGATCCCACTAGAAGCTGTGTACACTAGACCAAGGGGGTGGTTCCTTCACTTGAATGCAAGTGGTTGCATCATTTTAATGTGATTGAGTTTGAGTGAGTGAGTTTAGTTTTACGCCGCACTCAGCAATATTCCAGCTGTATGGCGGCGATCTGTAAATAATCGAGTCTGGACCAGACAATCCAGTGACCAATAGCATGAGCATTGATCTGCGCAATGGGGAACCAATGACATGTGTCAACCAAGTCAGCGAGCCTGACCACCCGATCCCGTTAGTCGCCTCTTACAACAAGCATGGGTTACTGAAGGCCAATATTCTAACCCAGACCTTCACGGGTTGCATCATTTTAATGGATGTGGTTGCCCCATTATGAATGCAGATCTGTGCCAGACTAGTGTTCAAATGAGTCATCTTGATTGTTTGATTTCAAGATCATGAGCGAGAATTATTCTGCACCAAGAGAGGAAGCCATCGACGACAAAGCCACAATAGTGAATGGACACAGAATAAGTATCGCAACACATCATACTTTTCATAGTATCAATACATTGTCATTAATAGGGCTATAACCGGTTTACCGGTATTTACCGGTTCAGACATGAAAACGATCCGTATTGCGATACGCTGATCAAAAATCGTTATTTTGACATGCATTCGGAAAACTTCGTAACACTCGGAAATCTTCGGATATTTCCGTTTTTTGAATTGTTCTTTTCCCTGTTTCATTAGTGCCAAATGTTACTCACATTTTTATTTTGTCATGATTAAAAGTTTTTAAAAAAGGTTAATCAATCATAGTGATTTTGTTGTGTTTTTTGCTTTATAATCAAGCATTAACTCGATTATAAGTAGTTTTTGTTAAAAAATAATCCTTCCAATATATTGCAATACATATCGCAATATATGCTTCCGCATCGCAATATATCGCAATATGAAAATTCTCTGCAATACCCACCCCTAGTCATTAACCAAAACAAATGAACTTCTCCAACTTACTATCTGGATAGATTAACTTATATCATTCTATGCTATCAAGAAATAATTAAATGGCAAATCTAGAGGGTAACAATAATCATACAAATAAAATTATTATGATATTAATGGCTATAGGAGTGTTAAAAATTAAAAGTGTAACAAAACATTATTCCATGTGTATGTTATAACAGACCAAGGATATAACACCCTGTATCATCGAGGATGGTCTCATACATATCCATCATCTTCTTTCGGCAAAATATACAAAAAATAAGTGAATACAAAAAAAACCTCCTTACTTAAGCAGGCTCTGCAAAAAGGTAACAGAAGACATATCTTACAAATTCGCACTCCTTATTTAAACAATCTCTATTACAGAGTTTCAGAAAATGCAAATGGTAGGTGGAAGGGAAATATTAAGTTTAAGAGACTGTGAAACAGGCTATAATAGAAGTAATTTCAAGGAACATGTTGTGTTTCTTCCTTAAATGTAGGGTGGTGGGGTAGCCTAGTGGTTAAAGCGTTCGCTCGTCATGCCGAAGACCCGGGTTCGATTCCCCACATGGGTACAATGTGTGAAGCCCTTTTCAGGTATCCCCTGCCATGATATTGCTGGAATATTGCTAAAAGCGGCGTAAAACTATACTCACTTAATCACTCAGTGACAGATATTTTACTAGACTCAGACTTCAGGCTAGCGGCTAAAGTTGCAAAACGACTGAACTGGATCATAACTGGAATATATCTAATTATTCAACTGATTGTCCTAGATGAACTTCGGCTTCAGCTGTTGTTCCTCTAGGCCACCATAGTGAAAGTTCTGCACTGGTAGACATAGTAAATAAACCACCGGATGATTCTATCATTATTATTAGACTAATCTTTGATTCTCTACCTAATCAAATTACTAACATGAAAACTGAGTCGAATAAGTACACAGTTTCAATAGCTGCTGCTGGTGCTGGATGAGAACACACTCGGATAACCTTCACATTTCACATTAGCCTGATTAAAGAGCCGGGGAATATTAAATATTATTCCACAGCATGGTGTGTTCTGGTGTCCCGGGGGAGTGATTATAAGAGTTACTGCCCTCCCAGCTTCACAAGTAGATGCTAGTACATCTACCTCATCGGATTTGGATGAAAATTGACAACAGGGAAATTCCT